TTCGACCTCATTGTGACATGGAAGCTCATGTGTCGGTCCCAATCAACCGAAACCATCAGGTAGTAGTGATTTTAGGTAGTACTGATGTTAGTTGTACATTCCTTACGTAAATTTAGCTTCGACCACTTGTCTTTGGAAGATGACGCCATCGGAGTATCGGAGTAAAGTTTTACAAAACAAAGACAAAACAAGAAGGTACTACGCTTTGAGTAATAACTGTCTCAATGTTGGTCTATTGAGAGCATCTCCACTCGTCAGACTTAAAGGTCTGATTTATACGGATAACCCTTAGATAGGACCAATTTTGGACTTATACTCCCACCCGTTGGTTTTATCGGGGTCTCAATAAGTCCAAACATAAGTTCAGCCCCGAAAATCCCTATCCTAGGACTTTTTCGTCAAGATATCACCCTCCAGACCTATGCTATCCGGAAGAGTTATATAATCTAAAATAATATACAAAAGTACTGTTCAACATAGTCAAATACAGTACAGCATGCAATCTTTATAATAATTCCCATTCAATATACACTAAAGGCCAACGAAGGCACGCACACCTTTATGGAAGAGAACGCCGCGTATCGTTCGTACGGCGAGGCGCTTCTCAACTGCTTCCGCGGCGGCGCGTTTTCCGCCATCCTCGACATCACGTTATTCGTGGTGGGCGTGAGCATTCAACACGTGCTGCTAAGTGCCGCGTTCACGCCCGTCATGAGTGCCACGGATATCCCCATGCCCATGCTCGGGTTTAGCTCGTCGGTCGTGGTGCTGCTCGTGCAATTGGGCAGGGCATCTACACCAAGGCCGCCGAGGTCGGCGCCGATCTCGTCGGCAAGGTGGAGCAGGGCATCCCCGAAGACGACCCGCGCAACCCGTCGGTGATTGCCGACTTGGTTAGATACATGGTCGTCGACTGCGTTGGGCACAGCGCCGACGTTTTTGTTTGAGAGCGTCGAGGTCAAGATTGTCGGTGCCACTTCCCTCGACAAAGAAGGCGCGATCGAGTCCGCCGTGTCGTTTGTGTCCTCCATCGGAACCTTCTGCGTGACCGAGCCCAGACCAACCGAGTCGGACCCGATGACCACGCTCCAACGCAGGTACTCGATCGCATTCTTGTTGGCGCTGGCGGGGTTAGGCCTGTCCATGCGTTGCCTGATTTTCGCGTCTGCCGCGCCCGGCGCGCGGTTGCACTTTTCCCTCGGCACTGGTGACCTCGTTTTCTCTCTTATGCCAGTGGCATCACGATGATGTAGGCAGTATGCATAACCTCTACCAGTATACTGTAATGAAGCTACATGTAGCAGTAGGTAATGCGAAAGTACACGACTTTCGCATCATCGTAGGCTCGTATTACTATTAGCGCTCTGACTGGGAATACCTATTCACACACAGTTGCCAATCAAAACACTTGAACATGCTAAATTACCAATTTCGCTTCATGGATGATTGGCATGGTCGGCTCCAAACGTAAATGAGCGGTACGTAGGACGTACTAGTAGATGAGCGAGGATAACGTAGGGGTTGTGGTGGGCGACTTAATCCAAGTCCCGCCATGACACAGGTGGTCCTCAACCGAGGCCACCGGGTACCGACCCTTGGCGAACCGACACGAACAGGCATAGTATTACTAGTAGTATTACTAATAGTACTAGGACGTAGAAAACAGAACACCTGTCCCAGCCAACTGCCGGAATCTCACTCTTGGTTCTGCAACGCCGTGTTAACATCAAGTCAATCAAGTGTGCAGTTTGCAGGGAGTTGGCACTCCCCCATTTGGTTGTTTGTGCTGGCACTGGCGTTGGAAACAACACAAAGTATACTTTAGTTCGAGTGACCTACGGAACTGAGAGCAATGACGAAGGCCCTCGAAGGCAGGGGCAAGTAGAAGCGGATCGCGTCTGGTGTTCAGTTGGAACTGACCGACGGCGAGAAGCTAGCGTTTGACGCCGTGAAGTCCAAGCTATGATCATCGGTGGAACTGTCTCACCCGCGTGATGACGACACGATGTGTTTGTTTACGGATGCGAGCAATCATGGATGGTCGATTGTGGTAACTCAAGTGCTGGCATTCGATGATTCGATGATGACAGCCCAGTCCAATAACGACGTCACGAACTGCTCTTGTGTCAGTCGGGGATGTTTACGGGCGCTCAGAAGGCGTGGTCAGTCATCGAAAAGGAGGCCTGCCTTATTGCGCGTGTGTGCGAGAAGCTCAATTACATGGTTATGCGACCTACGGGGTTCAAGATGTACTGTGACCACAAGAACCTCATCCATGTATTTGCCACAGGCGAAGGATGGAAGGCGCACACACGCGGCAAACTCATGCGATGGGCTGCCATTATTGGCGGCTATCGTTATGAAATCATACACATCGACGGCATCCACAACCTTTGGGCGGATATGATGAGCCGTTGGGGTCAGCCGACACCAAGTCTGGCGACCAAACGGGTCAAAATACGTCGGGGCCATGGCTGGTCAAAGAATGTCAAAACACACAAAGTCCCCCCACCGGCACAACCGAAACTTCGGCCGCTGGACAAGGACTTTGTGTGGCCATTTGTGGTGGACATCCGTCACGCACAAGACCAGCATGGCGCAACCAAACCAAAGCGAGCTACTGTGGTGGGCGGACTGTGGCAAGTGGATGAGCGGCTATGGCTACCGAGTGCGGCGAACGACCTGATCCAACGGATCATCGTCGTTGCCCGCTGCGGCAGCGCCGGGCACCGTGGACATGCAGCGTTGGTGGCTACTATCCACCGGGTGGTCCATCGACCGTATGCTCCGAGATGGCACGAGAAAGAGCCAACGAAGGAATCCACTTCGACTACCTCTACATGGGCGAAGCATTCAGTGGCACTAAATACGTGCTGGTACTCAAAGACGATCTTACCCACTACTGCAAGCTCATTGCATGCGATGGCCCCACGAGACAAGTATGTGTGGATGCCCTGGTGGACTGGACGAAGCGGTTCGGAATGCCACAAGTATGGGTCAGCGACCAAGGAACCCATTTCAAAAACGTGGCCATGAAGGCGCTAGCCCACAAGTTCAAGGTCCATCATGACCTAACCTTGGCCTACTGCCCCTGGCGCAATGGAACGGTTGAGCGGATGAACCGCGACATCCTCCAAGTGATGCGGGTCATGCTGCGAGAGTACCAGCTAGCCGAACAAGAATGGGACTACCTATTGCCGGTGGTCCACGCCAACCTCAACCAAACACCGGCAGCATCACTGACGAGCAAGTCGCCGATGGAGCTGTTCACAGCTTTAAACCCAGCGACTCCCCTGGATGTCGTCGTGGTGGGCATGAACAAGGAACTCCGAGAGAGCGACTGGACGGTCAAGGACATCCCAAAAACTTAGACAAGCTGCGTGCTAGCCTGCAAGGCATGCACAAAGAAGTCCTAGACAAGAGTGCGATGCGTGCGGTGAAAGCGACCGAGAAATACGAACAATGCAATGTCAGCGAGGGCGACTATGTGCTCTGGTCCCGCGTCGACGAACGTTATCACCCTAAGCTGCTCGTAACCTGGACGGCCCTACCGAGTCAAGGAAGTGGGCGAATTCTCCGTCGTGTTGGAGCACTTGGTGACTCATGAACTGCGGGAAGCACACGCGTCAAGAGTCAAGCTCTACGCCGAAGACAGCTTTGAAGTGACCGAAGAAATCCTCGAACACGTTTCCGAGAAAGGGATCATGCTGAAGGTCAAGTCCATCGCGGGACACAAGTTTGTCCCGGATGTGAAAGACTTCATGCTGCAAGTGCTTTGGGAAGGTTTTGAAGATATCGAGTCCTCATGGGAACCGCTGCAGAAGCTCATGTATGAATGCCCGGCCGTGGTGAAGAACTACGTTGAAGGCGTGAAGACAGCGAGCGAAGGCGATGCGTTGCGCAAGGCAATGAAGCGAGCGAGGGCGAAGAATTAGCGAGGCCCAAGTGTGTCCTGCGGGACATGCTTTGGGGGGGTGTTGTGGTGGGCGACTTAATCCAAGTCCCGCCATGACACAGGTGGTCCTCAACCGAGGCCACCGGGTACCGACCCTTGGCGAACCGACACGAACAGGCATAGTATTACTAGTAGTATTACTAATAGTACTAGGACGTAGAAAACAGAACACCTGTCCCAGCCAACTGCCGGAATCTCACTCTAGGTTCTGCAACGCCGTGGTAACATCAAGTCAATCAAGTGTGCGGTTTGCAAGGAGTCGGCACTCCCCCATTTGGTTGTTTGTGTTGGAACTGGCGTGGGAAACAACACAGTAGGCAAGCTGTGGGATAGTGCCGAACGTGAACCAGCCAACAGATACGTCATATCCCTGTGTTCATCGACCTCGTCTAAGCGGTCATGTTTGTACTGTACGTCAGCACGATGCACACTACAGCCTATCGGGGTGGTTCAAAGTCACAAACTGCACACATTGTACCTACTTCACAGGGTTGTTGATATGTGTAAAG